TAAAGCACTGGCCCTTCTCGCGTCAAGCCTCCTACCGCGCCTCCGAGCAGCTCGAGCTGGTGCACAGCGACCTCTGCGGTCCAGTGTTACCACCCACCCCTAGTGGTCGGCGCTACTTCCTACTGCTCGTCGACGATGCTACCCGCTATATGTGGACCGTGGTGCTTGATTCCAAGGCGGCAGCCACGGAGAAGGAGTGCGGCCGCAAGCTCCGGGTGCTCCGCACGGACAACGGCGACGAATTCACAACAGCTAAGTTCAGGGCATACTGCGCTGACGAGGGGATTCAGCGCCACTACTTCGTGCCCTACTCACCGCAGCAGAACGGCGTGGTCGAGCGCCGTAATCAGACAGTGGTGGCAACGGCGCGCGCTCCTCAAACAGCGCGACATGCTGGCAGTCTACTAGGGAGAGGCCATGATGACCGCCATACACCTGCTCAACTGCTCTCTGACCAGTGCGCTCGATGGCAAGACACCGTATGAGGCCAGGCACGGGCGCAAGCAGGCGGTCAGCTATCCTGCGCATCTTCGACTACCTCGCCTTCGTCAAGGAGCTGAACCACATCGGCAAGCTCGATGATCGCAGCTCGCCAAGGGTCTTCATCGACTACGCAAAGGGGGCTAAGGCCTACCGCGTGCTCGACCCGGTGACACGGCGCGTGCGCGTGGCGCGTGGCGTCGTGTTCGATAAAGGACGCGGCTAGGCATGGGACATGGCAGTGGATGACGGGTCGGTGACCACGCTTCTCGACTTCACCATCAAGTACGCATGGGTTGGAGGTGCTGAGGAAGCACAAGGTTCATCTTCATCGATGTATGGGTCTTCATCACCAGCGTCGACCTCTTCACCAACTCCGCATCGTTCGCCATCACCAAATCCGGGGGAGGTCAGCAGCCCATCGGCGCTGGCCGGCAGTCCATCGTTAGCGGCTCCGACCTCTCCAGCACCACAGCTAACCTCTCCGACCTCTACATCATCGCAACCGATCTCTCCAGCGTACTAGCTGACCTCCTCGGCGTCTTCTACTCGCCCGCTACGACACCAGCGCACGCAGGGCAGCTGGAGGTCGAGTACGCCATGCCACTGGAGGATGATGAAGACTGCCTGGACGCCTACTACGACGATGAGCCTTTGCGATACCGCACCGTGGCAAGCATCCTCAGTGACCAGTCTTCACCGGACCAGCCCGAGAGGCTCTTCGCCCGACTTCATCTTACGCACGCCGGTGAGCCGACCATTTATGCTGAGGCGCAGGGTGATCCAGCGTGGTGGGGCGACGATGGAGTAGGGGCTCAAGTCCGTTGAGCAGAACCGCACTTGGGAGCTGGTGCCACTGCTTGATGGCCATCGCCCTATCACCCTAAAGTGGGTGTTCAAGCTCAAGAGGGACGAGCTGGGCGCGGTGATCAAACACAAGGCGTAGCTGGTAGCACGCGGCTTCGTCTAGCAGGAGGGGATCGACTACGATGGCACCTTTGCCCCCGTGGCGCGTATGGAGTCAGTCCATGTCCTCCTTGCGCTGGCTGCTCAAGAGGGGTGGCAAGTCCACCACTTGGACGTGAAGTCCACCTTTCTCAACGGTGACCTCATGGAGGAGGTCTACGTGCGTCAGCCACCTGGCTACGTCGTTACCAGAGAAGAGGGGAAGGTGTACCGCCTGCGCAAGGCACTTTATGGCCTGCGCCAGGCACTGCGTGCCTAGAACGCGAAGCTTGACGCCACACTCAAGAAGATGGGCTTCAAGCAGAGCGTGCATGAGGCAGCGGTGTACCGACAGGGTAGCAGACACAACGTTCTACTGGTCGGAGTCTACGTCGACGATCTCATCATCACCGGCGCTGAAGAGCAGAAGGTGGAGGTGTTCAAGGCACAGATGAAGAAGGCATTCGACATGAGCGACCTCGGCCTCCTCTGCTTCTACCATGGAGTCGAAGTGTGCCAGGACGCCACCGGGATTGCCATCCGCCAAACCCACTACGCCAAGCACATCCTCAAGCTCGGCGGCATGACAGGCTGCAATTCGGCCCATACCCCGATGGAGGAGAACTCAAGCTGAGTCGGGAGAGCACGACGGAGGAGGTCGATCCAACCCATTACCGACGGCTGATCGGGAGCTTGTGCTACCTGGTCTATACTCGGTCGGACATCGCATTCGTCGTCGGGTACATGAGCAGGTTCATGGAGCGGCCGACGATGGAACATCTGTAGGCCGTCAAGCGAATTCTGCGCTACGTGGCGGGCACCCTCGACTACGGTCCACACGGAAGGGCCCCTGACACGGCGCGGTTCGTCAGCTACTGCGACAACGACCTCGCCGACGGTGTGGATACCAGCAAGATCACAACTGGAACAATGTTCTTCCTCGGTGAGTGCTTGGTCAGGTGGCAGTCCCTCAAGCAGAAGGTGGTGGCCCTCTCAAGCTGTGAAGCGGAGTACATCGCCACCACCACTGCCGCAACATAAGTGTTGTGGCTGTCAAGGATGCTGGTAGAGCCCCTTGACAGGAAGGTGGATGTGGTTGAGCTGAAGGTGGATAGCAAGTCTACTCTAGCTCTAGCCAAGAACCCTGTTTTTCCATAAAAGAAGTAAGCACATCCGCATCAAGTACCACTTCATCAGAGATTGCTCGGAGTACGGAAGCATCAAGGCCAGCCACATTGCCACTACTGATCAACTGGCTGACATTCTCATAAAGTCCAAGTTCCAGGAGATGAAAGAGAGGATTGGGCTACAGCAGATCACCTCCAGTTTTCGGCACAAGGCTTAGGGAGAGATTGACATATAAGCCTAGTGATAAAGCACTTGTATCTTACTTTTCCCGTACTTTTTACTTTCCTTGGCTTACGCGCTAGTGTGAGGAATATGTTTAATATCCACTTTAATGTTTAGAATATGGTATAGCAAGTGAGAGTCTCTTTTATCTATAAAAGATAAGGGAGTGTTATTGTAAAAAAAAAGTCATTGTATTTTAATTTAATCCAAGTGATCAAGAGCCAAGCTACTCTATGATAGTTTCATATCTGAATCTGACATCCAATCGGGCCATCAGAGCTAAGTGGCAACGGTTGCCTGCTGAAGGTGATTATTTTGCTCCGAGAGAAAGCGATGGCGATGGGCATGGCAATGGGGCGACTGGAGTGAAGTGATGATGGTGACTAGTTTTTCGGGCGCGCCCATGCGCGCGGTCCACTGGCCACACGTATTTTTTTGGAGAAAAAAAGATATAATCAAAGTTGGGTTGTATTTTGATTTGAAAAAAATCTGAGGATGTTTTCGTAAAAAACGGCGAGAGTGTCTGGGGAGCACGAGTTGATTTTCGATAAAGTGGAGGTCTTTTTTGCAAACAAACCAGTGCCCATCCGGTCTGAACTGAGCGTTGATTTGGAAATAATACGAGACGTTTTTTTTAAAAAATTCTGAGAGGACGTCTGGAGCGCGGGTTGATTTCTGGAAACTTAAAGGGGTTTTTCGTAAAACGACCGCGGCTCGCCTGATCTGGGCCGTCCGCGCGGCCGATCGAACGGCCGCGAAAAGCCGGCGACGTGGCCACCCTAAGGCCGCGCCGTGGCCACACCAAATCATATCTTTAGATTGTGTAGGTATAAATGTAAAAGACGCTCAAAGACAAAAACGCCAGCCTTTGCCGGTCACCTGCCAGTAAAGCAGTAAAGGACGTAAAGACAGACGATTAGCAAAAGATTTGATAACGAAGAAGAGATAAACAAGTTTATCTTGCACGCGTAATACGCATCAGCAAAGAAAACTCCAGCAGGCTGAACAAGGGCAGTTCGCACGGATATGATGTATCCAATCCAGGAGGCAGGAGAACGCGCGCGAGAGCTAAGCTAATTCAGGCGATTTCAGAGCCGGGACGCGATCAGGTCACCCGTGCCATCTGCAAGGAGTAGCTGGCTGGCTCGGAGGCGCATGCAATGCAGGCGGCAGTGTGGACTGGCGACCGGCGGACACGACACCCTGCCGGCGACACGGGTGTTCGGCGATGGCATGTCTCCGCTGTCGCTGCCCCCTCTTGCGATCTCGCCCGGACCCCGGTTGGGTTCACGTCCACCTTTTCAGCCTCACGCGCTGATACGGATTACATGCTGCCGATGTGATGTATAGCCTCTGGCGATGTGGCAAAGCTGTATCTCAGGTTTTCCGGGTGACTCGGGAGCAGGGAGGAGATATGCGGGATGCGAATAGGAGAGAAAGGGGGTGTGCAGGCAAAGGCCGATCTCAATCTCACTCGGAAAAAAAGCACTTTCCTTCATTCACAAAGCGTGCTCGTTTAATCGTCCAAGTGTATATAAAAAAAATGCATAAGCCTAACACCCGTGCAAGTGCCTAATTGGGGTAGGCTTTATAGCTATTATCAAACACCTATAACTTTTTCTTAGTATTTTTTTCATAGTTCATAATAGTTTTTTCACCGTCCACAACTGAGATGAATAGACCTTAATAAAACCATTTCTAGTAGGTACTAAAAAGCTAAAAAGAAACTAGGTCCGAGCGTTATATCTTTATCTCCCTTGGAACAACTATGAAATGTCTCTCTATTTTCACCTGATTGAAACAGTTGAAATTTGAAAGCCAAAAACATAGCGTCCTGCGAAAATTGTACTACACGAAAGTGGTTGCTTATAGAAAAACAGCTTCTAGTTCTACACGCTTGATTGGTTTGTCGATTTTTGGCAGTGCTACAGAAGTTGAACCAAACAAGAGAGACAGTAGTAAACATCCACTTTTAGAAATAAAAATTTGATTTGAGTGAGTAATTTTTAATAACAGTAAAATTGCGAGGAAAGGAAAGAAAGAAGCCCAGGTACACAAATCGAACTACTAAAACGGGCTGAGATCCCATGGGGTATACATGGGCCAAATTTGGTAACAAACAGCTTAGCCCATTTGGTTGATCCAAATGGGAAAAAAAACCAACTTAGACAATTTGGTATCCATTTTCTCCTCTCGAGTCGCCGGCGGGCGTGGACGCGGCGGCGATGCTGCGGTCGGCGCTGCGGCGGGGAGGGGCGGCCGCGAGGCAGGTCGCATTGGGGGGAGAAGCCTCGCCGAGGGACTTTCTCCGGATGCGCGTGGCGGAGCGGGAGCGCGCGAGGCGGCGGCGGCGCGACCCGGGCCGCGACGAGTTCTTCGTGCCCACGCCAGAGTCGCTGGCGTGGCTCGACTCGGTCTCCCTCCCCATGGTGCTCACCGCCGCTGCCGTGGCCCTCTTCACCAAGCTCCTCATGATGGTATTGCTCCATGTCCTAGGCCTTGTAGCTGTAGCTGGCTTCTCCTAGGGTTGTTTTCTGTTGCAATTGCAAGCACTGTGTATTTCCTTGAATACCTGAACATTATGCGAATCTTTTGTTGAATGCCATGAAAGGTCATGTTGCGAAGTGTAGAATCTTCATATTGTTAAATTTGGGCATGTAGAGATGTAACCTGTACGAATTTGAAGGTAGTTGTGACAAGTGCTCTGCTTTAGTCTCTAGTTGTCTATTTGTTTCATAGGTGTATACAATGTTTTCTTCATGGGCCTTGGTAGATTTGTGTTATCCTAAGTATGAGTTTGTACTACTGAATCTGTTTTATATTTCATTCAGTCAACATTTCTTCCCTTTCATACGGATGAATTCTACAATTTTGTTCAGTTTCATATTTTTTACCGTTAGCTGCCTAATGTTTCGTGACAATTTGTGTACACCCTTCTGGTTTATTAAATCATCAAGATTCTAGATTATTGTTTTAAGGCAAGGTTAATTTTGAACTAATGTTTCGTGACAGTTTGTGTACACCCTTCTGGTTAACTGAATCATCAAGATTCTAGACTATTGTTTTAAGGCAGGGTTAATATTGAGCTTGTGGTTAACTAAATCGAATAGTGTTCTTTTCGATGTTTGTTAGGATATCAAAATCATGTTATGAATCTTATTTTCTGTTTCTGTGGAAAGGAACATGAAGCTACGGATCAAGAAAGGAGAGAGCGCAAGATAAAGAATAGCCACCCTGATCAAGGAAAAGTAAGGACGCTGACTCGTGAAGAATGGGAGGAGGTCCAAGAAGTCAGGCCAAGGACCCCTTTTGAATCAAAGTTAGCTCGTCCACATGCCCGTATAAGAACTGGGGAGCCAGTGCGACTGGTTAGTAGACGTTTCTTATCGTCAGTTTCTGAAATGAAGTTTTGCATGGTACTCTTTGATGATTTATGGCATTGTCACCTCTGATATATTCCATTATTTTTATTCACCATTTATCTCAATGCTGGAATTAATATGGTTTGTATGTTCTGTTATTCAACAGCTTGTTGCCATAGTACTTCCCACATTTAGGTTTAGATATTTCATGGGATCCTCATGTAATCAATTTGTCTTGAAGAACCTCTTACTCTTAGCATGTTTTATTACTGATATCTTTATCCTTTACCTGTAGGAGGACGTCAAGGATTGGGCTACTGATGTAATCGCAGATTCTTTTACCAGAGCAGAAGAAACCACCAAGCAAAAATGATTCAGAAGAATCTAAAACACCCGGTGTATCTCCTTTATGGTTTCTCTGAATCTGAATGCATTACAGATCGATGACCCTATGGATATTATGGCCACTATGATGGCAGTCTGAGAGTGAAGCCCTGAGTCCCTTGGTCTGAATTTCGGTTCACCATGGTAAACAACTGCTTCATCCGGCCTCTTGGAGAAAGACCGAGAGAATAAATAATGTAGATACATTGATGATGCAAAATGCAAAAATGTACTCTTCCAGTCAGAAGTACTCAGTTTTGGAGCATCTAACCACAAGTCCCTATGGAAATATATTTAGACACTCCATAAGTTTATGAGCTTGTGGAAGTAGTTTTCAAAGTATAGTCTATGCACATGGATTTGGCATGTGTTCGAACTCCAAACTATTGGAAGTATTATTGAATAGCCAGAGAATATCAAACCATACGCAGCATATTGCTTAGCACCTAACATGCATAGGAAAAAAGAATGCAGGTAGTATCTACCTTGAAGTACGAATTAGTACTTCAGAAAAAGTATTGCTTGGCAACAAAGGAAAATTGACAAGACTGTGATTCATTTTTTTTTTTGACAAGACTGACCACCGATTGAAGATACTATTCACAAATTATGCAACAATCATACTGAAAAACATAGGGCCCCTTCAGCCACAATTTAGTGCTCAGCATAAATGAACTGACGGCGATATCTGGAATTATTTTTTGAAACTATTCAAGACTTCTTTTTTCTTTTAAAAAATAATTTATATGGTGATCTAGAGGAGGAATTGAGTAGTGTGCTGTGTGTATGGGAAATGGTAAGAACCTCTGCAACTATTGTTGTCCAATGTCTGGACAATTTTTGCCACAGGACGCCAAACATACGTGGTATTGGCCATTGCACACCGCAAGCACTAAAATATAATAAAAAAACTCGGTCTGTGATGGGCAGATAGCCCCCGCAACTTTGTGCTTAAGGAAGAAGACCTTTTCACGCAGACCGAGAAAACCCCTGAACCCCGTGCCCCGCCCTTACACAGGGGCCAGAAACCCTGTGAGTGGGCCGGTCCATTTATCTGTGCTTTGGGAAACTCGGGACAGGCGAGGGGATTTTTTTTAACTCCGGCAGACGAACGAGCGCACCCGTGGGGACTCGAACCCTGCACGCGAGAGTGCTGACCGGACATCCTGACCAACCGGTACGAGGAGCCGTTGGCACACTAAAATATAATATAATAGGTATGGTTATAAACCTATGGATCTTTGCTGCAATAGACTACAAAGATTATGATATTTGCTAATATGATTTTAGGAGAGAGAAGGGGGGTGTGAATTAACTTTTTTGGCCCTTCTTTCACCATCTTCCTTCTTCCTCCCTGTCATGGACGCATCCCTCGCAGTCCTCTCTTTCTAATCGACTACTCCACCTCCTTCTTGCCACGCCCACCCATCCTTCTCCCTTCCCTCTTCCTCGTCCTTGTACCACCTGGCCCTTACCTCCACAATATCAATATTCATCGCCACTAGGTGATTTAAGGGCAGACGATGACGGTTGTACCTTCTAGATGGAGTGACGGTAGCTCTGCCTTCCGAGATAGGGCTAGGCAGCAAGGCGGTGAGGCAAAGCCGCGCATCCTTGTTGAGAAAGGTGTTCTAGTTATCGAGCGATAGCATGTCTCTAAGGCCGGCAAGGTCATAGACCTTCGGCGCAATGCTATATATGACACTTTGGTCCTCGAGCTAAGACGTCTCCATGTCGAGCTCACCGAGCTCGTGACCTCTAGCTCATCGGACCCCATCCCCAATCTTCTTCTCTCCTCCCCCTCGGGCTCCTTCTCTTCCTTCATGTATTAGGGGTCCTATCCTCCGGCGTCGTTGTCCTCCCCTCACCGTCATTGCCGTAACTCCTCCTCCCTGTCGTCCTCCATCAAACCTAGGGAGAGAGAGAGAGAGAGGAATACGTCCATGTCGCCAGAAGGAAGGAGATGAATGCGAGGGCAAAAAAAAGTCAATGCACACCCTTTCTCTATGCTAAAATCATATAAATAAATATTATAATGGATGTGGTGTGTTGTAGTAAAGATCCATACTTTATAATCATACCTACCATATTTCAGTGTTTCTGGTGTGAAATGGCGTTACCTATGATTGATATCACGTGGCAAAATTTGCCTAGAGTTATAGAGAGAATATATACCACCTAATACTAAATTGGTCATATGAGGCTGGCTAAACTTTAGGTACAAGTTTAGACCACCTGTTAAAAGTCTTAGAGTTCAAATGGTCTAAAGTTTAGAGGATGCAAATAGTCCCTAAAATACAGGGGGAAGCCAGGATAAAACTTCGCTGGGGTTGGTCCAAATCAAAGTACTAACTTTTAGCCTGTGATAGGTCCACTTTATAAGGTGTTTTTGACATGACACTATCTTCTATTTTATATTTTGATTATTTATTTATCTTATCTTATATTCTTTATGATTATAGAATTATGATGACTAAATAGTGTATTTGATTATAAATCTAATAGTATTCAAGTTTATACTACAATAGCTAAAAGTAATTAGATAAATTATGGATCAATAATTATAAAGTTTGACTCTTGACCTACGTAACTTAAAAGGGAGTATAATACTATAAATAATATTAGTAATCGATGATATAGTGCAATACTATGAATATATAGGCTCGCACATTATCAATCTGGACCAGTATGTAAGACATCTGTTATCGGCTTTTCTTAAAAGCCGAGTAAATCTCCTTTAAAAAAACCAGTGGGGATTAAGAAAAGCTAGCAAAGTAGTATCGTATCCTTGTTCATTAATTGGGGATTAGGAAACTCTAAAAATTAAAAAAAAATTGATGTACTTTTGAACACAAGCAACAAAGTGGAGATTGATTAGCTCTAATCGACAACTCAGATCCTTATTCGTCAATTGCGGTTGTAGTTATAGAATCGGGGATTTGCATTGAGTCTTTGGGGTTGCCTCGTCTAGGTGCTTCATTCTTCATACAGGAGACGATAACCTCCTCGGCTCCTCGCAGTTGCTGAGGCCCCTAGGATGAGACGATGAGCAGTGCGCCGACTAACGAAGCCGAGAACTACGACGCCGGATGGAGTCGGATTACCGGACCAGTAGGCGGGGTGAGTCAGGGAGAGATTCTCAATCAGTGCAAAGGCCGGTACAATGTAGCTTCTTCGCCCCTGCTAAAATACCACGTTGCTGTCCACCACCAACGAAGCAGATCTGTTTTTTCAATTCATAAATAAATACGGGTCCACATGATTTCGTTTCAGCTTGGGTGCGACACCACGGGGGTGGTGTCCATTGTCTTAAAAATGACGCATGCCAATACGGCGTATTATTTTTATTTATTGGCATGGATGTGTCGATCGAGTATACCACTATACCTATGCCATGGTCAATCGGTCATAGCTCATAGCAGCCCCCTCAGCCTAGAACCCAAGAACCGACACAGACTCGTGAGACGACATGGCGAGGCTGTTCGCCACCGAGAGCTTCGGGTTCAGGGCGAGGGCGTTGTACGGGGTCTACGCCGTCACGGTGTCCGTGGGGATATGCCTGGTGCTCTACTGCCGGGCGGTCGGCGTGCTGAGTAGGGCCGCCGCCGGCGAAGCAGGCAGCGAGGCGTGGCTCTGGCTGGGGATGCTCGCGGCGGAGCTGTGGTTCGGCCTCTGCTGGATCGTCGCGCAGTCCGTGCGGTGGCCCCGGCCCGTCCGCCGCCGCGCCTTCAGGGACAGGCTCGCCGCCAGGTCTGGCTCTCCCCCCCCCCCCCACACACACACACAGAGTTGTGCACTTGATCACAGTGATCTCGTTGGTCCTGGTCCTCTGCTGCTGGCAAAGGGACATATAAGCTACTATGCTATATATCAACATGCGCTGGCGTGTGCTTCATGTCGTTGTCCTACACTACTCCTACCGTGTGCAGGGCTTGAGCCCCAGTGCATCGGCAAAAATCATGTCGGATGAGCCTATAACGGGGTAGTTTGGTTGCATGGCCGTCGAAGGAACGCTGCAAGATCGAGTTGGTGCCATCGCCGGCGACCGGCGTCACTGTGCAGCGCTAGTCCAAATACTGTTGTTCGAGTTGTTCAGGACTGAAAAATAAGCCAAAATATTGTTCCGTCTGATTGTTGTGAGAGAAAAATACTGTTCTATCTGAAAACACTGTTCACATTGAAGCATCCAAATAGTTATCAATGCTTGATTAAGATCCCCTTCACTAGTAAATACCCCTTCTCCAATCCGAAATGGTGGATTTCAAACCATGCACACCTTTTTGAGCCCCCTCAACAAAAACTTCACCAAGAAAGGTCACCAAGTCATCCACCGAGCCATTTAGGTTATGAAAATCACTAAGAGTAACAATTCCTTAATTATATTGAGGGTGAAGGAGTTGCTAGCTGTTGAAAAAAGATGACATACCCAAACACCACCGAATGATCCAACGGCACACCATATCATACCGCGAGGCTATGTCGGCCTGCTTTTCAAATGGTTAGAAAGGAATATATCAGAATATTCTCCATTAGATGATATGCCAGGAATCACAAAGTCTCCAACGGATCATATGACAATGACATAGTATCAAGAGTTCATCAACTTGTCACAAAGTCAAGCTTGGCCTAGTGGATGATCCGTTGGGAGTGACACAGTCACCATAGATCACACGACACAATCCAATTAACTAGATAACTTGTAACCAAAGTCAAGTTAGTCTTCATTGGAGGATCTGCTGGCATGTCATACAGTACGATGCACATCAATGGGATGTCCACTTGTGCACCAACCAAGGACCGAGCCTCATTGAATGACTAGTTGGGTGTCACAAAGACACACCAGATCATCTAGTAACCATTAAGTTACTAAGGCTAAGTCATTAATGCCTTGAGTATAGTTCCACTGGAAGATCCGTCGGTATCACCCCTTTATCGTTCGGTGCACATTCCAGTGTGTGTTTTTCAAGCCTGTTTTGAGTCCGATCTTGACCAATTCAACTTATTTAAGATCCTTAACTTAAAACAATTCAATGAGACCACTTAGTGCCTCGATCTTGATTGAGAGTTAGACTCTTGTGCATTCGAAATGCTCTCGCTCGAACTCACTCATGATGAATTCCTTGGAGCCCCCCTTAGTTATATGACCAAAGAAAAAACAATGCCCTAATATATACTAGAACGAATGTCTCTAAGCACCAAATCTACATTCACTCTAATTTGTCCTTAGCCTTCATGAACATCCTTTGCACCATTAGATATCCAACAAACAAGTCTTTGAGGCCAAGACACTTGTGTCAATTCAATTGCGACTAACTCAAATGTGATTGTTTGCTGCAAAATACACGTTAGTTACAACCACTTGTACCATCAAACACCAAAACCTAGATGCATTCACTGACTTGTTTTTTTAGAGGCAGTTGGATCAAAAAGCTACCTCTACAGATGCATTTGGAGGGCTTAAGCTAACAGACAGTCCCTAGAGATTGATTTATAGGGATGGTTAAAAACATCAACCACCCCTAGGAACAGCTCATACTCGAACCTTTATGTTACTTGTTGCTATATAAAGATACACAATGTCCTCCGACATATTAGGCCAGTCTCAGTAGGGATTTCATGTCATTGTTTCCAAGAGACCAATGTGTTGAAAACAATGCAGATAAGCTTCATCCACATGAAACTATTTCATTCCGTGAAACTTTTATCATTTTTCTCTTCATCTATACTATGCCATGCATGTTAGCTTATTTAATGCTATGAAACTCCTTTCATCCCATGAAGGCACTCCCAACCCAGAAATCACATGGTTTCTATGTTTATTAATTAGGTTGCCAACTAAGTAAAAAAGATGATGTGGCACTGTAATTAAAGAAGAGAGAGGGGGGGAGCAGGAGGAAATGGTTTCTTAATAAGAAATCATATCTGTACGGGAACGAAGACATAAAAAGATGTGATAGGTAGATGCAGGAGAAAGAAAATGTGTGATTGGATAAATGATTATTCTGTTGAAACTATTCAGTGGCAACATAGTTTCTATGTATAATGTCTATATAAATTAATAGCCATAGAAACTAATTGTGGTTTTTAGCATTGTGACTGTCCTGAAACTTTTATCATCCCTCGTCATCTATACTATGCCATATTTGCTTGAAATTCTCATTAATCTTTCACAGTGATTGGCCATACTGAAATAACTAAAATGCACCATTGAAGGGAAATAACCTGCATCTATCTCAAGCACACAGGATCCACCATTGTCGCTTTTGAATTCTAAACGCCTCCTAATAATTGCCGACCAACTCCCCGCTCCCATTAAAAATATGCGCTCTCATTGAATTCTAACCTGCATCTATCTGGAATGGTTTTGAGCAGGCTCGGCGACAAGCTCCCTTGCGTGGACATCTTCGTCTGCACCGCGGACCCACGGTCGGAGCCGCCAATCATGGTAGTCTCCGCGGTGCTCTCGGTCATGGCGTACAGCTACCCGGCTGACAAGCTGAGCGTCTACCTCTCCGACGACGGCTGCTCGGCCCTCACGTTCTACGCTCTGGGAGGCGTCCCGGTTCGCCAAGCTCTGGCTGCCCTTCTGCAGGAGACACAGCATCGAGCCGAGGTCACCGGCCGCATACTTCTCGGAGACCGATGCTAAGCTTCGTGCTGGTGCGTTGTGCAGCGCCGAAGAATGGTCCCTAGTCAAGGTAAATAAATATTACTGCATGCTTTCATTTCATCTCGATCGGTTGTCCTTGGGTCCCGTTTGTTCTTCCCCAGTGGCAGCTAGCACATTACTACTAGTAATTGATGGCGCTAATCATTCTTGGCCGTGGGGCTCTCGCGCGGGAGAAATAATATCATTCTTGGCCGTGGGGCTCTCGCGCGGGAGAAATAATTATCGAGCTGCATGCATGCATCGACACTGATCTTTGTTCTTGGTAGATGAGCAGGAGTCGTACAAGGAAATGACCGAGCGCATCAATTCTGCGGTCATGCTGGCCAAGGTTCCTGAAGAAATCAAAGCAATGCATAAGGGATTTTACGAGTGGGATTCTTCAGAAGTTACCTCGCAAAATCACCAGCCGATTGTTCAGGTGGTTTATTTATCAAGCCTGGTAATTCTAGGCTGTGTTCTTTCTGTTCAAAAAGAAAACACCTACAAAAATAAAGACGCTTAACTTATAATTTGAGTCGCCATCATCGCCGTCGTCGTCGTCATCTACAATACCTTTTCTTTTGTGTGTGTCATCATAAGATGCACACCTAGCCTCTAGCTAACATTTGGTGAATCCCTGATAGGTTTTGATTGATGGGAAGGATCGGAGCGTAGTTGACAACGGAGGAAGCATGCCACCCACATTGGTGTACATGGCACGCGAGAAGAGGCCTCACTATCACCATAATTTCAAGGCCGGGGCGATGAACGCTCTGGTGAACTCATCACGTCATCAGCCTTTTACTCTGGAATGCGCGCGCTTCACATACATTTCTTTATGGCATTTTATGTTGTACTGAAATTCAGATAAGGGGTGTCGTCGGTGATAAGCAACAGCCCTATCATCCTGAACGTGGACTGCGACGTCTACTCCAACAACAGCGATTCCATCAGAGATGCACTGTGTTTCTTCATGGATGAAGAAATGGGCCACAAGGTTGGGTTTGTGCAGTACCCCCAGAACTACACCAACTTGACCAAGAATGACATATATGGTAACTCCCTCAATGTCATCAACGAGGTCAGTGCAACCAAACTAGTTACATGAGATTTTAAAGTTACCTCCAACTACGATATGACTTCTCAACGTTGACATACATGATGAAGAAGTACATTATTTCATAGATCTATCTATCAAACATCTGAAGGTAGAGCTATGCGGCATGGACGGTGTGGGCGGCCCCGCGTATATTGGTACCGGATGCTTCCACAGAAGGGACGTCCTCTGTGGAAGAAGCTTCGCTGAAGACTACAAGCACGACTGGGATGACACCGGGATCACAGCAGCAAAACCTCAGGAACGCATCGACGAGATCGAAGAGCAAGCCAAGTCTGTAGCGAGCTGCGCCTACGAGGCAAGCAACACGCAGTGGGGGCGTGAGATGGGCGTAAAATACGGTTGCCCGGTGGAGGACGTCATCACCGGGTTGGCGATCCAGTGCAGAGGGTGGGCGTCGGTCTACTTCAACCCGCAGAGGAAGGCGTTCCTGGGCCTCGCTCCGACGACGCTTGCTCAGACGCTGCTGCAGCACAGGAGGTTCGGCGAGGGCAACTTCTCCATTCTGCTCTCGCGGTACTGCTCGGTGTTGTTTGGGCATGGAAAGATCGAGCTGCCGCTGCAGCTGGGCTACTGCATCTACGGTCTATGGGCTCCAAGCTCGTTGCCTACGCTGTACTACGTTATCGTCCCCTCGCTTGGCCTCCTCAAGGGCATCCCTTTGTTCCCGGAGGTGGTGATTCTGATGCTCTGTTGTTTTGCCTACTCCTATAGGTCCTAGCTAGTTTGCATCACTAGCTCTCACTCACTCGCATTCTGATGATGCCATTCAGATCACAAGTCCATGGAGTATCCCATTCGTCTACGTGTCAGCTGCGACATACATGTACAGCCTCTACGAGGCACTGAGCTCCGGGGTCACGGTAAGAGGGTGGTGGAACGGGCAAAGGATGTGGATCATCAAACGAACGACGTCCTACCTCTTCGCCATGATCGACACCGTCTCGAGGCTGCTCGGACTGTCGGCCATGGCGTTCGCCATCACCCCAAAAGTAACCGACGAAGACCAGTCAAGGAGATACGGGCAGGAGCTCTTGGAGTTTGGGGCCTCGTCGACTTCCCCCGAGCTCGTGATCGTCGCGGCCACCGCGTTGCTCAGCCTCGTGTGCCTGGCCGGTGGGCTGAGCTGGGTCCTGGCCAGTGGCTGCGGCAGCACGAGCTGCCTTAGCGCGTTTTGTCTTCAGATTGTGCTCTGTGGAGCGCTGGCGGCCGTCAACGTCCCAGTATACGAGGCAATGCTGTTGAGGAAGGACAGAGGGAGAATGGCGTTCAGAGTCAGCGTGGCTGCCTGCTTTGGGCTCGTGCTGCCAGCCTGTCTGATTTGGGTGAACGTATTTTGAGAGGCCACGCATGCATATATGTAATAAATAAAATAACTCTTCCCCAAAGAAAAAACAAAGGTAAATACATAAATAATTACATTATGTTCCTTCTTCCTCCCTGTGGCGTGGACGCATCCCTCGCAGTCCTCTCTTTCTCATCGACTACTCCACCTCCTCCTTGCCACCCATCCCTCTTCCTCGTCCTTGTCTCCACAATATCAATATTCATCGCCACTAGGTGATTTAAGGGCAGAGGATGACGGCTGTACCTTCTAGATGGAGTGACGGTAGCTCTACCTTCCGAGATAGGGCTAGGCAGCAAGGCGGCGAGGCAAAGCCGCGCATCCTTGTTGAGAAAGGTGTTCTAGTTATCGAGCGATAGCATGTCTCTAAGGCCGGCAAGGTCATAGACCTTCGGCGCGACGCTATATATGACACTTTGGTCCTCGAGCTAAGACGTCTCCATGTCGAGCTCACCGAGCTCGTGACCTCTAGCTCATCGGACCCCATCCGCAATCTTCTTCTCTCCTCCCCCTCGGACTCCTTCTCTTCCTTCATGTATTAGGGGTCCTATCCTCCGGCGTCGTTGTCCTCCCCCTCACCATCATTGCCGTAACTCCTCCTCCCTGTCGTCCTCCATCAAACCTAGGGAGAGAGAGAGAGAGAGAGAGAGAGAGAGAGAGAGGAATACGTCCATGTCGCCAGAAGGAAGGAGATGAAGGCGAGGGCAAAAAAAAAGTCAATGCACACCCTTTCTCTATGCTAAAATCATATAAATAAATATTATAATGGATGTGGTGTGTTGTAGTAAAGATCCATACTTTGTAATGATACCTGCCATATTTCAGTGTTTCTGGTGTGAAATGGCGTTACCTATGACCGATATCACGTGGCAAAATTTGCCTAGAGTTATAGAGAATATATACCACCAAATACTAAATTGGTCATATGAGGCTGGCTAAACTTTAGGTACAAGTTTAGACCACCTGTTAAAAGTCTTAGAGTTCAAATGGTCTAAAGTTTAGAGGATGCAAATAGTCCCTAAAATACAGGGGGAAGCCACGATAAAACTTCGCTGGGGTCGGTCCAAATCAAAGTACTAACTTTTAGCCTGTGATATGTCCACTTTATAAGGTGTTTTTGACATGACACTATCTTCTATTTTATACTTTGATTATTTATTTATATTATCTTATATTCTTTATGATTATAGAATTATGATGACTAAATAGTGTATTTGATTATAAATCTAATAGTATTCGAGTTTATACTACAATAGCTAAAAGTAATTAGCTAAATTATTGATCAATAATTATAAAGTTTGACTCTTGACCTACGTAACTTAAAAGGGAGTATAATACCATAAATAATATTAGTAATCGATGATATAGTGCAATACTATGAATATATAGGCTCGCACATTATCAATCGGGACCAGTATGTAAGACATCTGTTATCGGCTTTTCTTAAAAGCCGAGTAAATCTCCTTTAAAAAAACCAGTGGGGATTAAGAAAAGCTAGCAAAGTAGTATCGTATCCTTGTTCATTAATTGGGGATTAGGTAATTGGGGATTAGGAAACTCTAAAAATTAAAAAAAAATGATGTACTTTTGAACACAAGCAACAAAGTGGAGATTGATTAGCTCTAATCGACAACTCAGATCCTTATTCGTCAATTGCGGTTGTAGTTATAGAATCGGGGATTTGCATTGAGTCTTTGGTGTTGCCTCGTCTAGGTGCTTCATTCTTCATAGAGGAGACAATAACCTCCTCGGCTCCTCGCAGTTGCTGAGGCCCCTAGGATGAGACGATGAGCAGTGCGCCGACTAACGAAGCCGAGAACTACGACGCCGGATGGAGTCGGATTACCGGACCAGTAGGCGGGGTGAGTCAGGGAGAGATTCTCAATCAGTGCAAAAGCCGGTACAATGTAGCTTCTTCGCCCCTGCTAAAATACCACGTTGCTGTCCACCACCAACGAAGCAGATCTGTTTTTTCAATTCATAAATAAATACGGGTCCACATGATTTCGTTTCAGCTTGGGTGCGACACCACGGGGGTGGTGTCCATTGTCTTAAAAATGACGCATGCCAATACGGCGTATTATTTTTATTTATTGGCATGGATGTGTCGATCGAGTATACCACTATACCTATGCCATGGTCAATCGGTCATAGCTCATAGCAGCCCCCTCAGCCTAGAACCCAAGAACCGACACAGACTCGTGAGACGACATGGCGAGGCTGTTCGCCACCGAGAGCTTCGGGTTCAGGGCGAGGGCGTTGTACGGGGTCTACGCCGTCACGGTGTCCGTGGGGATATGCCTGGTGCTCTACGGCCGGGCGGTCGGCGTGCTGAGTAGGGCCGCCGCCGGCGAAGCAGGCAGCGAGGCGTGGCTGTGGCTGGGGATGCTCGCGGCGGAGCTGTGGTTCGGCCTCTGCTGGATCGTCGCGCAGTCCGTGCGGCGTGGCCCCGTCCGCCGCCGCGCCTTCAGGGACAGGCTCGCCGCCAGGTCTGGCCCCCCCAAGTTGTGCACTTGATCACAGTGATCTCGTTGGTCCTGGTCCTCTGCTGCTGGCAAAGGGACATATATGCTACTATGCTATATATCAACATGCGCTGGCGTGCGCTTCATGTCGTTGTCCTACACTACTCCTACCGTGTGCAGGGCTTGTGCCCCAGTGCATCGGCAAAAATCATGTCGGATGAGCCTACAACGGGGTAGTTTGGTTGCATGGCCGTCGAAGGAACGCTGCAAGATCGAGTTGGTGCCGTCGCCGGCGACCGGCGTCACTGTGCAGCGCTAGTCCAGATTCATTTCTAATTTTGGACGGAGGGAGTAGGCCGGAATAATTAAATCCCATCGGAAATACCCGAAGGTCTGGCAGTCGCAAGTTGCGATGAGATCGAGTTGGAGGTGGGCTGGTCAAAGAAAAACTCTGGTCCTGCTGCGTGTCGGATCCATCTAACGCGCTGGATCGGTCAGAAAATTTTGCAATAAAACACGCTGCATCCGGGCCTGTGAAAAGATGAAGCCGTCCTTTTCTTTTACTTTGCTTTTTTTTGTTCTTGTTATACTTAATTCACAAGATTATCAAGTAATACATCTGTTTGATTTGTTTTAACATTTTAGTTTTACCCTAAGTTAAACTATTTAGAGTTGAAGTTTGTATACAAAAGAATACTAACTTTTTTAGAGTAAAGCAAAGCAAACTTCCTGGGACGAAGGTACTGAATTTCAAACCCTATACTATTTTGACATACAGTACAACATTAGTTCTCGTGATTATTCTTAGATAAACCTGTAGTTTTACCAAGAGGTTTGAGTGGATACTAAATTTCCTATAGTTTTCTTTCAAACATTTACTTTATTTCACAACCATATAAGTACTTTTAGAGTCAATTGAAAGGGCCTAATAGCCTAAGAGCAGAATTTTGAATTAAGATCTAAAAAATTTCTAAATCCTCTAGCACCTTGGTTCCTAAGATTTCTACAAAAGCATACTAGTCTCTAGGGCCATGAAGCTAGTGAAGTTCTTAGCAAGGTAACTAAAGAAACAAACTAGTCTCTAGGGCCACGAAGCTAGTCTCTAGGGCAAAAGCTTGTGCAAGCATGTGGCGCTAGCCCTTGGGCATGGGGCTTTAGTCCCGTTTCGTGGATTCAACCGGGACTAATGATCCTTTTAGTCCGGGCACAAATTTAGTTGAGACTAAAGCCAAAAACCGAAAGTTTGTTCTCTACTAGTGTATATCAAGAGCTCCACTCAATGTTTGATACAACCTACGAGATAAATAACTAATGGGAAGCTCATGATCACATTAAGATAGAAGTCCTTAAGAGCAAGAAGTAAATCTATGCTAAGAAACCTACAATGCAATCCTAGTTGTCACTCAAAGGAGCTTACACATTAACAAGCAAGGCAAGAAATAATGCAAGAAACAAAAGATAGGCAAAGAGGCAACTTGATTTTTCCTATGGTATCGGATGATTGTTACAACCCCCTAGTCCACGTTGAAGCATCCAAATAGTTATCAATGCTTGATTAAGATCCCCTTCACTAGTAAATACCCCTTCTCCAATCCGAAATGGTGGATTTCAAACCATGCACACCTTTTTGAGCCCCCTCAACAAAAACTTTACCAAGAAAGGTCACCAAGTCATCCACCGAGCCATTTAGGTTATGAAAATCACTAAGAGTAACAATTCCTTAATTATATTGAGGGTGAAGGAGCTGCTAGCTGTTGAAAAAACATGACAGACCCAAACACCACCGAATGATCCACCGACACACCATATCATACCGTGAGGCTATGTCGGCCTGCTTTTCAAATGGTTAGAAAGGAATATATCAGAATATTCTCCATTAGATGATATGTCAGGAATCACAAAGTCTCCAACGGATCATATGACAATGACATAGTATCAAGAGTTCATCAACTTGTCACAAAGTCAAGCTTGGCCCAGTGGATGATCCGTTGGGAGTGACACAGTCACCATAGATCACACGACACAATCCAATTAACTAGATAACTTGTAACCAAAGTCAAGTTAGTCTTCATTGGAGGATCTGCTGGCATGTCATACAGTACGATGCACATCAATGGGATGTCCACTTGTGCACCAACCAAGGACCGAGCCTCATTGAATGACTAGTTGGGTGTCACAAAGACACACCAGATCATCTAGTAACCACTAAGTTACTAAGGCTAAGTCATTAATGCCTTGAGTATAGTTCCACTGGAAGATCCGCCGGTATCACCCCTTATCGTTCGGTGCACATTCCAGTGTGTGTTTTTCAAGCCTGTTTTGAGTCCGATCTTGACCAATTCAACTTATTTAAGATCCTTAACTTAAAACTAATTCAATGAGACCACTTAGTGCCTCGATCTTGATTGAGAGTTAGACTTTTGTGCATTCGAAATGCTCTCGCTCGAACTCACTCATGATGAATGCCTTGGAGCCCCCCTTAGTTATATGACCAAAGAAAAAACAATGCCCTATATACTAGAACGAATGTCTCTACGCACCAAATCTACATTCACTCTAATGTGTCCTTAGCCTTCATGAACATCCTTTGCACCATTAGATATCCATCGAACAAGTCTTTGAGGCCAAGACACTTGTGTCAATTCAATTGCGACTAACTCAAATGTGATTGTTTGCTGCAAAATACACGTTAGTTACAACCACTTGTACCATCAAACACCAAAACCTAGATGCATTCACCGACTTGTTTTTTTAGAGGCAGTTGGATCAAAAGCTACCTCTACAGATGCATTTGGAGGGCTTCAGCTAACAGACAGTCCCTAGAGATTGATTTATAGGGATGGTTAAAAACATCAACCACCCCTAGGAACAGCTCATACTCGAACCTTTACGTTACTTGTTGCTATATAAAGATACACAATGTCCTCCGACATATTAGGCTAGTCTTAGTAGGGATTTCATGTCATTGTTTCCAAGAGACCAATGTGTTGAAAACAATGTAGATAAGCTTCATCCACATGAAACTTTTATCATTTTTCTCTTCATCTATACTATGCCATGCATGTTAGCTTATTTAATGTTATGAAACTCCTTTCATCCCATGAAGGCACTCCCAACCCAGAAACCACATGGTTTCTATGTTTATTAATTAGGTTGCCAACTAAGTAAAAAAAGATGATGTGGCACTGTAATTAAAGAAGAGAGAGGGGGGGGGAGTAGGAGGAAATGGTTTCTTAATAAGAAATCATGTCTGCACGGGAACAAAGACATAAAAAGATGTGATAGGTAGATGCAGGAGAAAGAAAATATGTGATTGGATAAATGATTATTCTGTTGAAACTATTCATAGGCAACATAGTTTCTAAGTATAATGTCTATATAAATTAATAGCCATAGAAACTAATTGTGGTTTTTAGCATTGTGACTGTCCTGAAACTTTTATCATCCCTCGTCATCTATACTATGCCATATTAGCTTGAAATTCTCATTAATCTTTCACAGTGATTGGCCTTACTGAAATAACTAAAATGCACCATTGAAGGGAAATAACCTGCATCTATCTCAAGCACACAGGGTCCACCATCGTCGCTTTTGAATTCTAAACGCCTCCTAATAATTGCCGACCGACTCCCCGCTCCCATTAAAAATATGCGCTCTCATTGAATTCTAACCTGCATCTATCTGGACTGGTTTTGAGCAGGCTCGGCGACAAGCTCCCTTGCGTGGACATCTTCGTCTGCACCGCGGACCCACGGTCGGAGCCGCCAATCATGGTAGTCTCCGCGGTGCTCTCGGTCATGGCGTACAGCTACCCGGCTGACAAGCTGAGCGTCTACCTCTCCGACGACGGCTGCTCGGCCCTCACGTTCTACGCTCTGTGGGAGGCGTCCCGGTTCGCCAAGCTCTGGCTGCCCTTCTGCAGGAGACACAGCATCGAGCCGAGGTCACCGGCCGCATACTTCTCGGAGACCGATGCTAAGCTTCGTGCTGGTGCGTTGTGCAGCGCCGAAGACTGGTCCCTAGTCAAGGTAAATAAATATTACTGCATGCTTTCATTTCATCTCGATCGGTTGTCCTTGGGTCCCGTTTGTTCTTCCCCAGTGGCAGCTAGCACATTACTACTAGTAATTGATGGCGCTAATCATTCTTGCCCGTGGGGCTCTCGCGCGGGAGAAATAATTATCGAGCTGCATGCATGCATCGACACTGATCTTTGCTCTTGGTCGATGAGCAGGAGTCGTACAAGGAAATGACCGAGCGCATCGATTCTGCGGTCATGCTGGCCAAGGTTCCTGAAGAAATCAAAGCAATGCATAAGGGATTTTACGAGTGGGATTCTTCAGAAGTTACCTCGCAAAATCACCAGCCGATTGTTCAGGTGGTTTATTTATCAAGCCTGGTAATTCTAGGCTGTGTTCTTTCTGTTCAAAAAGAAAACACCTACAAAAATAAAGACGCTTAACTTATAATTTGAGTCGCCATCATCGCCGTCGTCGTCGTCATCTACAATACCTTTTCTTTTGTGTGTGTCATCATAAGATGCACACCTAGCCTCTAGCTAACATTTGATGAATCCCTGATAGGTTTTGATTGATGGGAAGGATCGGAGCGTAGTTGACAACGGAGGAAGCATGCCACCCACATTGGTGTACATGGCAGGGGAGAAGAGGCCTCACTATCACCATAATTTCAAGGCCGGCGCGATGAACGCTCTGGTGAACTCATCACGTCATCAGCCTTTTACTCTGGAATGCGCGCGCTTCACATACATTTCTTTATGGCATTGTATGTTGTACTGAAATTCAGATAAGGGTGTCGTCGGTGATAAGCAACAGCCCTATCATCCTGAACGTGGACTGCGACGTCTACTCCAACAACAGCGATTCCATCAGAGATGCACTGTGTTTCTTCATGGATGAAGAAATGGGCCACAAGGTTGGGTTTGTGCAGTACCCCCAGAACTACACCAACTTGACCAAGAATGACATATATGGTAACTCCCTCAATGTCATCAACGAGGTCAGTGCAACCAAACTAGTTACATGCAATTTTAAAGTTACCTACAACTACGATATGACTTCTCAACCTTGACATACATGATGAAGAAGTACATTATTTCATAGATCTATCTATCAAAAATCTGAAGGTAGAGCTATGCGGCATGGACGGTGTGGGCGGCCCCGCGTATATTGGTACCGGATGCTTCCACAGAAGGGACGTCCTCTGTGGAAGAAGCTTCGCTGAAGACTACAAGCACGACTGGGATGACACCGGGATCACAGCAGCAAAACCTCAGGAACGCATCGACGAGATCGAAGAGCAAGCCAAGTCTGTAGCGAGCTGCGCCTACGAGGCAAGCAACACGCAGTGGGGGCGTGAGATGGGCGTAAAATACGGTTGCCCGGTGGAGGACGTCATCACCGGGTTGGCGATCCAGTGCAGAGGGTGGGCGTCGGTCTACTTCAACCCGCAGAGGAAGGCGTTCCTGGGCCTCGCTCCGACGACGCTTGCTCAGACGCTGCTGCAGCACAGGAGGTTCGGCGAGGGCAACTTCTCCATTCTGCTCTCGCGGTACTGCTCGGTGTTGTTTGGGCATGGAAAGATCGAGCTGCCGCTGCAGCTGGGCTACTGCATCTACGGTCTATGGGCTCCAAGCTCGTTGCCTACGCTGTACTACGTTATCGTCCCCTCGCTTGGCCTCCTCAAGGGCATCCCTTTGTTCCCGGAGGTGGTGATTCTGATGCTCTGTTGTTTTGCCTACTCCTATAGGTCCTAGCTAGTTTGCATCACTAGCTCTCACTCACTCGCATTCTGATGATGCCATTCAGATCACAAGTCCATGGAGTATCCCATTCGTCTACGTGTCAGCTGCGACATACATGTACAGCCTCTACGAGGCACTGAGCTCCGGGGTCACGGTAAGAGGGTGGTGGAACGGGCAAAGGATGTGGATCATCAAACGAACGACGTCCTACCTCTTCGCCATGATCGACACCGTCTCGAGGCTGCTCGGACTGTCGGCCATGGCGTTCGCCATCACCCCAAAAGTAACCGACGAAGACCAGTCAAGGAGATACGGGCAGGAGCTCTTGGAGTTTGGGGCCTCGTCGACTTCCCCCGAGCTCGTGATCGTCGCGGCCACCGCGTTGCTCAGCCTCGTGTGCCTGGCCGGTGGGCTGAGCTGGGTCCTGGCCAGTGGCTGCGGCAGCACGAGCTGCCTTAGCGCGTTTTGTCTTCAGATTGTGCTCTGTGGAGCGCTGGCGGCCGTCAACGTCCCAGTATACGAGGCAATGCTGTTGAGGAAGGACAGAGGGAGAATGGCGTTCAGAGTCAGCGTGGCTGCCTGCTTTGGGCTCGTGCTGCCAGCCTGTCTGATTTGGGTGAACGTATTTTGAGAGGCCACGCATGCATATATGTAATAAATAAAATAACTCTTCCCCAAAGAAAAAACAAAGGTAAATACATAAATAATTACATTATGTTCCTTTTGTTTTTACATAGAAAGTACATTTTTGAGAATCTGTGAGCTAGCTATCTACTAATCCTTTCATTTCATAATGCAGGTCACTTTAATCTTACCATAAATCAAACTTCTCTAATCAAATGTTGCAAACGCCATGAAGCAACGAAAGGAAGTTAGTTTGGAACGGGAGCATCGTCATCCATGGTATTAACAACTAGTTGGCTAATCTTTAGTCCCTGAAGATCTAAACATGTGGGCCAACGGATTTGCTAATACTTAGCCAAGCCTCCATGCCAAAGAAATTCTCGTCGACAATGCATTTTGTACGCAGGGAATCAGATGGGTAGCACATGAGACATATATTTATACTAGTTCGTGAATAATCGACCTCTTATTACGTATGCTAAGGAATTACAGGGGCGCTGATACGATTGTCTAGCTATGCAAGCCTAGCTAGATTCTATGAGATGTTGACTATTAAGTCAGTTACAAGGAAATCTATCGGATCCTGGTTGTAGAATTGTGTGCCTAGAGATTATAATCAACTAGAATTGTTTAGATAGGTGGCTTGCAACACAAAGTAGAGCTAGAGCAAAATTTTATTTTGTCATTTGTTGTACTAATGAATTTGCTCTAGTGATTTTGTAGAATTTTTTATAGGCTATTCATCCCCCTCTAGCTGTTTAGGGCCTTACACCTGACCAGTTTTTCAAGTCTAGATTGAGTTTTACACTTTTACTTGATCTAAACTCACCCAATATCATGGGAAACTTGTAGGTTTCGTTTGAGAAAGGTGTCCTACTAGGATAAAAACCACCCCTCTATACATTAGAATATTACAGCCGATTGAGGTAATTTAACTACACAATCGACAAAATCAAACTACTACCTCTCTTTTACCCTTTTCCCATCTACTACCTCTCCTTGTTCTTCATCTCTGCTACATGGTCGGTGGATTGACGACGATGAAGCTCTAGAGTGATCAAGCCGGCTAGGGCAGCCCCTAGCCACCACACACACCCCGATAGGGTCCCTCCTGGGCAAGTGGGGTTTTGGGTTTCAAGAGACTTCATTGGCGTGTCTTGTGTATCATGCTCCTGACGAGGCTCCTCCAGTGACATGTCTTATGTATTGCGCTCATTGTTGGAGGCACTAGATAAAATGTTCATCTGTGAGCACACTATAGGCGTCAGCCAACTTGAGGGTTGGCTTGTCTAATCTTTAGCCCGCCTATACCGAGCGATCTAGCTCCTTACCAGTGTGGTGACCTAATTCACGTCAACACACGTACTTTTGGACGACTTCGCTAGGGAATGTTGGTTCAGCTATGAAAGCATCTAGGCCCCTAGTTGGATTTCGATGATTAATGACAATACGTGATTACTATGACTAACGTGTGCTTTGCAGAGGCAATTAAGTTAGGTCATGGTAATGGAGATCGATTGGGCAATAATGGTTGTCATGCCCCTACGATGGAAATCATTTCGGTTTTCAAAGGATGGACGACAAGGTTAAGGATGGACTAGTTCTAAGTGTCGTTTGGTGTTGAAGAGACACTTAGAGTAGTTTAGGACTTTGTTTTTCCTTTGGCCGTACTATTAAGAGGGGTATGGACGGGTAGGTTGACCTAGGTGAGTCTAGTGGGTTATGTGTGATGCACACTTGCTAAATCTAGCACTAGGTAGCTCCTAAAAAGCCCTTAGATCAATTGGAGCAAACTTCATTCACGTATGATTGAGAGTTGGAAGTGAATGGAGGGTCAAATGCTGACCGGATGCTGGCGCAGAGTCTGGTCAGTACATTTGATCAAGGTGAAATCGTCTAGTGCGACCGGACGCTGGGTGCCAGCGTCCGGTCGACTCCAGTAAGGTTCTAGAGAGGGAAAATCGCGACCGGACGCGTCCGGTTACAACTTAAACACTGGATTTTAGGGAGAACTAACCGGAGCGTCCGGTCAACATGACCGGAGCGTCCGGTCACCCCGCAGAGGCACATAACGGTTCGTTTTGAACACGGGTGTATAAATACTTCCTCCATTCGTGTGAGGGGGTACTTTTGCTCATTCCAACAACTGAGAAACATCCTTGAGAGTGCCAAGAAGAGCAAAGTCCTAGTGAGGTAATTGAGATTTGAGAATCCTAAAGAGAGCCCTCATTAGTGAAAGCAAGAGTAGCAAAGTGTGCATCCACCCTTCTCATTAGGCTTGTCGTGGTCAAGTGAGAGTTCGTGCTTGTTACTCTTGGTGATCGCCATCACCTAGACGGCTTGGTGGTGATTGGGAGTTTGGTGATCATCCGGCGGAGCTTGTGGATGACTCAACTCAAGTTGTGAGCGGTTGTGGGTGATTCATCGCGACGGAGTGTCGAAGAATCAACTCGTAGAGAGCACTTGATCCTTGCGCGGATCAAGGGGGAGCTACACCCTTGCGCGGGTGCTCCAACGAGGACTAGTGGAGAGTGGCGACTCACCGATACCTCAGCAAAACATCGCCGCGTTCCTCTTTCTCTCTTTACTTTGAGCATTTCAATTCTTGTCATTTATATTCATAGAATTGCCATGCTAGAGTAGGATTGAAACATAGGTTGTTAAACTTTTGTGCGGTAGATCAATAGAAATACTTTCTAGGCACACGGGGTTAATTGGGCTAACCATAGGGTTTAATTATTGCAAAGAATTTTTGAATTAGCCCAATTCACCTCCCCCTCTTGGGCATCTTGATCATTTCAGGCTGTACCCCACGGTCTGGCCAATCTTTCTAACCAAGCCAATTTGTTTAGCTGTATCCCATGTCTACACCTAGACTTGTGGTAAAGGCAAGTAGTGATGGGTATCAACTAACTCCTGTCACTATGCAACTCCCTTTAGTCGCCATCTCGATCCTACGAAGGCAACAGACTCAAAAGTGATGAGTTAATTATCAATCACTTGTTAGTGCAGTAGTGATGGGCATCAACTATCTCTTGTCACTATGCAGCTTTACCTATGGCATGGTGAGGCTTATAAGTTACAGCCTATCACTAATGACTAAAACGTGATGCTCCTATTTGGGGTTTGAAATGCATTTTTCATGTCTGTATCAATCAAATCTTAGTTGTAGGGAGTTATTTTTATGTTAGATTGGATCTAGATTTACCCGATCTACATCAAGATGCTAAAGATCTAGGGTTTGTTTGGTTTGCTATCAAAGGTCACCATGCCGCAGCATAGCTCCCGCACCACACCTTTCGTCATGCATTTCGTTTAGCGCATCGCGACACAACCTACCATTCGCTAGTTCATTTTTGTTTCCACCAACTGTAACACCCTTGGTGTTACACCCTAACAAACTACTGAACCATATCATGAGCATCATGTTTATATGATAATGCATGTGATAAAGTGTGTGGATAAATTTCTTGTAACCTAAAATGACTAATAAAAATGCTAAATGAAAGTTGATTCAATAGCTCATGTATATCAAGTAGGGTTGAAAACCAATTTTTATTGAGCAAAAATACTATAGAACATATATGTGGCACCTAAATAAAGCTTGAAGTACAAACTTTGTAGATGGCAATGCAACCTTTGCTGTAGAAAAATAATATTGCTAGTTAGTGCTTCTAATAGCTTAGAAATGGAACTTGAAATCAAAACTAGCTTAAAGACTTAGAAAATTCTTAAGTTTAAAAACAGTTTGACGGCACCGGGTTTGTGAATTTATTCTGAGAAATCTAGTTAAAGAGTAGTACTATGTTTTAGTTCTTAGGAGTAGCCTAATATGCTCTCTTGATCATGGTGAAGGTGGCTTTGTTCCAAAATCAATCATTTAATTTTTACGGGTGCTTTAAAATTCGTGCACGCACTCAGGCTCGGGCCGTCAGGCCTGGGCGTGTGGTCACCGTGCGTGGCCGCACGCCGGCTGGCCAAGGCCGCGCTCGGTCTGGCCACGGCTTGGTCACCCTTGGCCGCAGCGCCTGCTGCTGGCCGCTGGCCCAGCCAGCCGCTGGCCACCGCGCCCGGCGACCACCCTACCCCACCTGCTGCTGCTCGCACGGCCGAGCGGCACTACAGCTTGCCTTGCCGCACCACCGACCCACCTCGTGCCGCGATGTAGCTGCTGCCGGTGTCGTCGCATCATCGTCGTGTCCGCGCCTGTCCCTTGTACCTATACCCCGTTGTTGGCCCGGTTAGATGCCGCGCGCACATGGCCACGATCGTCATCGCCTTGCCATTAATGGCACTACACCCACGCGGGCCATGCCGGTCAATGGACGCACGTGCCTGTCCGATTGCATCTGTGCGCATAACACCTAGATCACGCTGGCCACGTCCCACCAAGGCGAGACCAAGACGAGCCCACTTGTCGCCACGTCTCTCTCTCTCTCCCTCTGCTGCCGTCGTCGAGCCGCGCCATCAAATTGGCCACCGAGTGATCACTTCCATGTAATTCAGCACATCTGCGGCTTCACCATCAAGTTCTCTCGCTTCCCGACCCCACTCAGCCATGAAGAAGGCACTGCCAAGCTCCAATTTGTCGCTTTTCTCGCCGCCGTACCGATAAGGCCGCGTCCGGCCATGGACGAGGGCAGCCCTCCTACCGTCCCTCCTGAGCCAATTCACCTGCACCACTACCTTTGCCTTGCCTCCCTCTCCACCTTGCGCACGCCAGTGGAATCGCTACCGCCTCCCCGTCACCGCTGACGCGTGACTGCGCCACCGCGGTGCACCGTCGCACGGCTCGGCCACACGTGGCCACACCTCCTCTGCCATCCTCCACCGCAACCATCACCTCTGCTAGGTTCACGGTAGTCTACTAATGCTCCCTCGCTAGCCAGTTAGGTTCTTAGGTGCTCTGGTTCGCCGGGGCAGCCGTGCCACCGTCGTGGATGATCGCGCGTCGCCGCAGCTGGCTCCAGTGAGTCCCGCCACCTCGTGTTGCCGCTTAGCATAGCC